CCCGTGCCTTCCCCGAAGTCTTTCCAAACCGACTCCTCCTCCTCCTCCTCCTCCTCCTCCTCCTCCTCCTGCTCCTCCTTCTCCTCCTCCGCGCGGAGCGCCAAACGTTTCTGTTGATGCCGGTTTTTCTTGTTCTATCCCAGAGCCTTATCTCATCGAGAACAAAAGAACCCCAGAACGCTAATAGCACGATGACGACGTGGCCTCACTGAGGTCTCCGTCTCTGCATCAGGGATAATCGATCTGGACGGTTGGGCTCGATACATCTGCAGAGAAAGGACCCCCCCCCCATCCCTAGTGTTCTGGCCCTCCTGACTGAGGTGCCCTCCTACAGGGCTAGCGGTACCCACCATCGGGTCATGACAAGATCACGGCGGAAGGGTTCTTTCGGGGGAGCGTAAGACCCGGGTTTGCCAGGACTCGGGTTCGCCATCGTTTTTTGACGACCGCGACTCGGATTTTGACGAGGAGGAGTTTTATGGGATGTCTGCAGCGGGAGGCCTCGTCAAAATGCAGGCTCGGCCTCGTCATTTTTTTGACGACCTCGTCGGGGATTTCCGAGTCCCCCGTACCCAGGTCTTACGTCTCCCCGATTCTTCCGGTCGCAGCTCGTGGGAGCCCGGTGCACCGAAGACGGAGGCGGGGCGGTCGGCCCTCGGCCCACGGCGAGCACCATGCCGAGCCGTCGGCCCGCGGCGCCCCCCCCCTGCCCGAAGAGCTCCTGGGACAGCCCTGGTACGGTAGGTTCGTGTCGTGTCGACCAGCGGCGACCCCAGCGCGGGCGTTCAAGGTTGAACGCCGCCGGCGACCCAGAATCGATCGATGTTGAACGATCGGACGTTGCGGCAGCGGCCGATCGTTCAAGGTTCAACGATCCCCGAGGTGACAGAAACCATCGCTGGGGTCGGCACGACACGAACCTGCCGTATAGGGGGGCGACAAATGGCATAAACATAATAATTCGGAGGTCCGCGCGGATTTCTCGGATCGGCGCTGGACCCCCCTGGCGGCGCCTCTGGCGCCGCCCCTGGCGCGCTCCGCGCGGCAGGGGGGGGGGACCAGTGCCGCTCCGAGGAATCCGCGCGGGCCTCCGAGTTGTGTATGTTTATGCCATGGTTCGGTTCCCCATGGTCGGGCCGGGGGTCGCCAGGGGGGGCCTTCGATCAGTCCGAGTGGCCACGCCCCACCGCTCCAGTCAAGCAGTGGCGAAGCGTCCCGGCTCGCCTATAGCCCCACCCCCACCAAACAATGTTCTAAGAACTGTTCGTGGTTCCCATTAAAAGTTCTTAGAACATTTCTGTCGGAGTCTGTCTTGTTTTGACACATCGGGCTTATGCTCCAAGAACATTGTTTTTGTTCTTAGAACATTTTTTGGTTTTACGAACATTTCGTGGTATCACTATATGGATGCCGGGGCGGTCGGTCCCTGCTCAATCCAGAGCGTCGGCCATCGGGCCGCCGCTGGCCGCCCACACGGCTTCGGGGCCAAGCCGAATGGTCCGCCCTGCGCGGGCCGAGGTCCCCGGCCTGCAATGATGAGAGCCACGGGGCTGGCGAAGTTTTTGATCCGTCGCCGCCCCGTGTTCTTGTCTTGATCTTTCGACCACACGTAAGAGTTCTGGACGCCCGAAATGGGTACGGAAAGAATGGGTAGAATGCCCAACAGCAGTTCTTGTTCATTTTGAACCGGCTTCGCTGTCCACGCCGCCGAGGCCTGTATCCATTCGAGACAGAAGGCCGCCTGCCCAACAGCGGCCGCTGTTGGTTTGGGACAACATTTGTTGTTGGGCAGTGTATCCATTCTTTCCGTGCCCATTTCGGGCGTCCAAAAGAGTGACCTTTCGCCGGAGTGACCTTTGGTGCGGGCCCGATGGGGCCCCCCGATCGCCGAACGCGGTGCGGCAGTTGCGTCTCGCGCGCTCGGTTTTGGTCCCCCCCGCGGCCCCCCAAACGCTGCGCACCAAAGGTCACTCTTACCCAGGGTCACTCTTGCGTGTAGTCGAATCATCTGCCCGAGTACAGCTTGGCTGCAAGTGCTGTCGAGCCGAAGATCTCGCAAGGTCCAGGATTGGGGCCGCCATGTCCCTCGTGATACTTGAGGCGGTCGCGCCCCACGTTGTGCACTGGTTTGTGCCGCCGTCGGGGCTCCCCTCGTCCTTTTCCTCCGCCGGGCCCAGCCCAGCTTGAAAGCCGAGCTAGTCGCGCGCGATTCACCAGTGCACGTTTAGCCCAACGCGTGCGGTGCCAGGTGTGTTCGTGCTCCTGGCGGCGGGGCCGTGCAGCGCGAGGTCCAATGATGGGCACGAGAATTGACCCAGAGAGACCTTTTATGCCTTGCTCCTCACCCCTTCCCCCATGGCATGCCTCCCAGATCGCACCAGCGTGGATGGGGTCGAAGGGTCGCGCCGCGTCGCCGATGCGTCGGCGATGCGGCTCGATCTGGAGCCCGATGGTTTCTACGTTGACGGCGCCGATGCAGTGGCGATGTGGTGCGATCCTCCGACCTCATCTGCCGTGGCCCCATTTGAGAGGCACACATTCCCCTCCCCCGCCCCGTGCTTGCATGCTCCGCGCTTCTCTTCTTCGGCCCACCTCGACCGCTTGCGACATGCGGCGTGCAACAGGCCCCCGACGATCCTGACCTTCCAGAGTGCAAACGAAACTGCCTTTTCCAGACCTATGGACCTATCTGGACTGTTTGGAACCTCGACAGGAAACGAGGTGTCAAGGTTCGGGTGTCGGGTTCGGGTCCCTCCTGGAAGGTCACGGGAACTGAGTACGTGGGCCCCTGGCTGTACCGTCCCATGCCGCGGGCCTGGCTGCTCACCCTGAGAGCAGTCATGTGAGATAGTGCGTGTGTCACGTGTGTATATGCGCCAGTCGCTGCCGTTTGACCTCTGGGGGCCGTTTTTTTGCCATTGCGCTAAAACGCATCATAATCACACTGGTAGCGGAGCTACCACACGATCCCCTTAACGTAGCACTGCGCGCACGTCTCGTCAGAGAGTGTCGCACGGGCAGTTTCCCTCGATGGGGGACTGAGCCTTGCGCCGTGGCACTCTCTTCTCTTCGCTAGCGGCCGAGCGCCCCCCGCGTGGGGCCCGCATCCGCTGGACCTCTCATAGGGGGCTCATAACAGTGGCGGTTGCACAGCTGGCGCCGTCTTTAAGGAAGGGCGAGGTTCAGTTCCGATGCCCGTAGGGCCGAGCTCCGCGGGACCTCCCAGGAACCCACGAAGGTGGCGACACTCGCGCAGCGGCCCGTCTTCGTCACAAGGGGGCGAGGGGCCCAGACCGCTGACGACATTATTCCGGGGAGAGAAACAGACACAGACACAAAGAAGCATCGTTTGGCAGGACAGTGCCCGAAAGTGTGGGACATGGGGGGAAGACGGAAATCTTCCCCAATCTTGACAGGCACACACGCGCGCACGCACGCACGCACGCACGCACGCACGCACGCACGCACGCACGCGCGCAAACACACACACGCACACACACACACACATCACACATCACACATCACACACACACACACACATCACACACACACAGGGATTCAAGGCAGTTGCGCGTCTACCTCGTTCCCTCGCCTTGTCGACTTGCGTCTCCCTGGGCTCCTTCGACCACCGCCGCCTCCTTTTCTCCACTGTCCCTCTCCTTGTCGACCTGTGTCTCCCTGGGCTCCTTCGACCACTGCCGCCTCGTCTTCTCCACTGCACGCCCGAGGAGCCCGGCGCCGCGCCCCGGGGCGCGCGCCGCCGGGGCCCTCGCCGGGGCCGCGCTGCTGGCGCCGGGCGCGGAGGGCCGCGGCGCCGCGGCGGCGCCCGGGGCGCTCGCTCGGGGCGCCGGGCGGCGGCACGAGGAGCGGCACGAGCGAAGCGCTTTGTGTGAAGAAGTCACGACAGGAGCTCCCGTCGTGGCTTTTTGTTCTCTGGGTGTTCGCGTGTCGTTGCTTCTGCTGTTCGTGAGGTAGTCCGTGTGTGTGTGTGTGTCGTTACTTTTGCCGTTCGTTACTTCTACCGTTCGTTAGGTAGTCCGTTTGTGTGTCGAGAATATTCGAGTGTCGAGAATGCGTTATACGCAGAAAAGAACGGAACACCTAGGTGTTTCGTTATCTTCTGCGTCCAGGGGCCCTTCCCGGGCCCAGGGACCGTCCAAAAACGATTAGGCTGAAAAACGGGTCCCGGGAATGGGTCGATGCTTCTCGGGACCCCGTTTTTTTCTTGTGTGTGTTTTTTTTTTCTGTGGCTCTCTGGGTTCTAGGCCTCCTAGATGGGGTCGGAATAGATGGGGTCGGAGGATCGCGCCGCATCGCCGAGGCATCAGCGATGCAGCTCGATGCGGAGCCCGACTTTCGCCGCCGGCGTCACCGATGCATCGCAGACATCGCCGGTGCATCGCCAATGCATCGCCAATGCATCGCCGATGCATCAGCGATGCGGCGGGGTCCTTCGACCCCATCTACTCCGACCCCATCTAGGCAGTCTCTACCAACAGAAGTTCCTGTACATGTTGAATTTTGAAGGTTTTGCTGTCCGCGCCGCCACGGCATGTGTCCACTTGAGACAGAAGGCCGCCTGCCCAACAGCGGCCGCTGTGGGTTTTGGACAACATTTGTTGTTGAACGTGGTACGCGTTTTTTCCGTACCATTTCGGGCGTCCGAAGTGCGTGGACTACGGCGGCGGCGTCGACGGCGTCGGCGACGTCGTCGACGACGACGGCGAGGACGTCGAGGACGAAGTGGACAGCGATGTCGTCGACGACGACGTCGACCACGACGGCGCAAACGACGACGACGACGGCGTCGACGCCGGTGTCGACGACGACAGCGACGTCGACGACGACAACGGCGTTGACGCTGGCCGGCGTAGATGACGCCAGCCAGCGGCGGCGCCGACGTTTCGGAGATTGTCGGGCGTTTGTGGAGGGTCCCACTGACACGCGGACCGCGACGTCTTCTGCGGCGGTCAGCATCGCGAGCCGTACGCCCATGCCCACTGGGAGAGCCTTGGCCCCAAAGTCCGGCCTTCTCCCGTCCAGGGTCCCCGACCCTGTCGAGTCATGAAAATATGTCAGCGTTTTTTTTCTTCCATTTTTGTACGGCCTCGGGGGGCCTTCGCCGGGCCCCGGACCGTCAAGAAACGATTCGCGGGATGACAAGCCGGTCTGGGGGAATATGTGCAAACCTCTGGCGGTCGACGTTCTGCGCAAAATCGTGATGTCGCTGGTCCAGGGTTCGCGGTGCCCTTTTCAGACCCCCGACGTCGTTTGATGTTTTCGCAACGTGGGCCACTGGAGGTCTCCGAGATATCCTTGCGTTGAATTTTTAAACGACGGACGTTTTCGCCCAGTTGCGGGTCCTGAGACCCTCACAGATCGATCCGGCTCGAAGAATGACGCAGAAAGATGGGAGGGCTCCAGTCGGGATTCTTCGCGAGATTGCAATGTGTACGCGACGTCATTTTTGAAAGCTGTACCACTTCACCGGGACTGGCTTCTTCTTTTGTGCTTTTATTGACGGTCTGGGGCCCCGCTTGGGCCACCCGAGGCCGAAAACGTCCAACATTTTCCCATCGCTATCTGTTCTCATCTCAACGACGCAGCAAGGCGGGGCCGCCTGCGCCGACATTCGCGCGTCAGCTGCCCGAATGAGGTCGCGCGCAAGCGCCCTCTTCTCCAAAGCAGCGTGCCACGCCGGCGGTCCGCGTACGCCGCCGCGGAAGTTCGCTGCGTCGTCTCGCGTAAGACCCGTTCCCAGATCACCGACGTCGTGATTTTTTAATAACGTCGACCCCCAGAGGTCTGGACCCCTTCCCCGGGACCGGCCTTTCGTCCTGAGTCGTTTTCGGACGGTCCCGAGGCTCGGGAAGGGCCCCCGGAGGCCGAAAACAGCGAAAGACCTCCCGTCGGGATTCTGGACGCCCGAAATGGGCACGGAAAGAAAGGATACAATGCCTAACAGCAGTTCCTGTTCATTTTGAACAGGATTCGCTGCCCACGCCGCCGCGGCCTGTGCCCATTCGAGACAGAAGGCCGCCTGCCCAACAGCGGCCGCTGCTGGTTTGGGACAACATTTGCTGTTGGGCATTGTACCCATTTTTTCCGTACCTGTTTCGGGCGTCCAAAGGGATGTTTTCACAGCGCGAGGAGGTCTGGGTTGTCTCGCGCAGGACCCGTGCTGGATCCTCGCGCCTCGGGGGTCTCCGGGCCGAGGCGCAGGCGGGGCCGCTGCTGGCGAGCCCCGAGGCCCCGCGGCAGGAGCGCGCGCCCGCGCGGGCCAGGCGAGGCCCACGCGCGCGTGGGCACGGGCCCCGCAGGTGCGCCGCTCGTGGTGGGCCCATGTTCCACCACCGCTGCCACAGGCAGGAGAGGGAGGAGGAGGAGGAGGAGGAGAGGAGGAGGAGGAGGAGGAGGAGGAGGAGGAAGAGGAGGAGGAGGAGGAGGAGGAGGAGGAGGAGGAGGGGGAGGACGACGAGGAGGAGGGGGAGGAGGAGGAGGAGGAGGAGGAGGAGGAGGAGGAGGAGGAAGAGGAGGCGGAGGAGGAGGAGGAGGAGGAGGAGGAGGAGGAGGAAGAGGAGGGGGAGGAGGAGGAGGAGGAGGCGGAGGAGGCGGAGGACGAAGAGGACCTCCTATCATCCTCCCTCCGCCCCCGTCCTGCGCATAGCATCCGGTGGTGGCGGGAGGTCTGCCCAGCAGAGGGGCCCCGGCAGGGGCAGCAGGAGCCTGCGCGTGCCCCCCGCGTGCGAGGCCCCCTGCCCCTCGCAGCGGGGGGGGGCGCGAGCGCCCCTCGCAGGCCGGCGCCCGCTCCGTCGTGGCCACCCGCCGCCGAGCCGCGCGCCCGCGGCCTGCCCCTCTGCTTCACTCTGGACGCTTCAAAGAAAACGATCCCAAGGCGCAAAAGCACGCCAGCGGAGAGGGCGGAACGAGGGGAGGCAGGGGGGTCTGGCTCCGGACCTCTGCGTCATGCGACTGTCTGCAACAGTGCGTCCTGCTGAGGAGACCCCACCTGCTTGAAAAGGGCACCCGAGACAGCCAAGATCTGCTCCAGGGGGGGAGGGGAGGGCGTGCGAGGGCCCGCACCGAGCGGCAGAGCAGCGCTTAAAAGAAAACGATCCCAAGGCGCAAAAGCACGCCAGCGGAGAGGGCCCTGCCTCGACGGGCCCTCTCCCCTCCGAGGCGTGGCGCCAACGTCGGCGGCAGCGGCGGGGCCCGAGGCCCCTGACATGCTCGCGTCGCGACAATCTGGACGCCCGACACGGGTACGGAAAGAATGGGTACAATGCCCAACGGCAGTTCCTCTTCACTTTGAACAGGATTCGCTGCCCACGCCGCCGCGGCCTGTGTCCATTCGAGACAGAAGGCCGCCCGCCCAACGGCGGCCGCTGCTGGTTTGGGACAGCAGTTGTTGCTGGGCATTGTACCCATTCTTTCCGTACCCATCTCGGGCGTCCAAATTCACCGAGCGCGCTCCACGGCTCGCAGGGGTCGGGGAGAGGCAGCAGGTCGTGCTCTGAGGTGAAGTCGGGCGCGCCCCTCTCCAGCAGGAGCATCCAGAAATAGAGCAGACATCGTCCAGGGACGTTGTTTGGGGGACTATGTTTGCATATGTGGTGGGTATTGTTGGAGTTCTCATGCTTCGTCCAAAATCCGCCTGAAGGGGTACACGGCCGACCCAACTCGAACGCCATGGATCGTAGATCCCTCGCGGCGGATCCAGGCCATCTGCGGGCAGTTCCTCTGCGAGTCGTGGAGCGCGCGCCTGCCCCTCTCTGCCCGGGGCGGGGGCGCCGCGCGGTGCAGGAGGAGGCGGCCTGCTGCTTCCTCGTCGACGTGCCCGTCGCCGCCTGGATCGTGGGCCGCGGGGGCAGAGGCGGCTCGGGGGGAGGGCCTCTGCCCACCGTGGAGGGGGCCGCTGCGACGCGATGCCGACCATCTGCCGATGCGCCCTGCTCTGGTGCGCGTGCTCTGCTCCGTTTTGATCTGCCGAGTCGATGCTGCCTGCTCGTGCCCCCCGCAGCGATCCGCGGGGACTCCGCCAGGTTCTGTGTGGGCGCTGGTGCCGCCGTTCCTCCTCCAGCCGCGATCCTCAGCCCTCGATCCTCGGCCCTCGGACCCATCTCTAGCCTCGAAGCCCGAGCCTCGAGCCCCGGTCTTCTCGCCTCGATCCTCGGTCCTCGAGCAGCTCGATCCTCGGTCCTCGGCCCCCGTCACCGCCGTCCCCGGACACCGCGAACGTCGGTCCTCGGTCCCGCCACCCTCGGCGGGTTCTCGGTCCTCGATCGGCGGGCCACGAACCTCGAACCTCGATCCTCGGCCCTCGGTCCTCGGTGCTCTGTGCTCCGCCCTCGGTCCTCGTGCCCCCGTCACCCGCCGTCCGCGGACACCGCGCGTCGTGACAGACCACGTCGGGCGACTGCTTGGCCACGTTCGCGCCCCAGGAGGCACAGGGTTCATTTCGATTCCTCCGATTCGACTCGATTCGATTTCGGTGGCTTCCGATTCCGATTCAATTCGGCTTGGGACTCCGATTTGGGTCCCGATCTCTCTTCGGAGGCATCCTGGCCTGCCGAACACCGCCGGTTCGACTCCTCCCGACTCGGCTGCCGATCTCCGCCGATCCGCTTCCTTTCGATCGCCGACCCGCCTCCTCGATTCGATCCTGGGCTCTCCTGTGACCGCGCCCGTGGGGAAAAAACACACACTGGGGAAAACACACACACACACACACGGGGAAAACACACACAGAGACACACAGACACACAGACACATATACACACACACACATTCACACACACACACATTCACACACACACATGTGGGGAAAAGCACACACACATGTGTGTGTGTGTGTTTCCCCACGTGTGTGTTCTTTCCCCACCGGGCTCTCCTGTGGGGCCGCGCCCGGGGGCCGTGCGGAGAGCAGCTCGGAATAGAGAGCGCCTGTTGGGCAGGCCGCGCGCCGCTCGGGGGGGGGCGAGGGGCGCAGGCCGCGCGGCATTGCCCGAGTGCTGCAGGCCTCGGAACAAACCAGCGAACACTCCTCGAGGCCTCCAAAGAGCCCCTCCCCCCCCTCCTCCTCCTCCTCCTCCCCTCCTCCCTCCTCCTCCTCCTCCTCCTCCTCCTCCCCCTCCTCTCCTCCTCCTCCCTCCTCCTCCCTCCTCCTCTCCTCCTCCTCCCCTCCTCCTCCTCCTCCTCCTCCTCCTCCTCCTCCTCCTCCTCCCCCTCCTCCTCCTCCCCGCGTGCACGTCCGCGCGAGGCCTGGGCGAATGCCCATGCTCAAGGTTGGCGCTGTGTCTGACGAGTTGCACCTCGACCGCAGTCGTCCCCCGCGCGTGCCGTGCCGACTTCTTGAGTTCTGGGGGGCAGGGAGGTGCTCACTATAATTGCTTCCCTCCACCGTGCGGCAGGGGCTCTGCCGGAGAGCGCCGAGACCTGGCCTCGGCCGCGACGCGGCCACAGCCGGCTAAAGCACCAGCACGAGGCGCGCAGGCGCCCCGCGGCAGTTTGTCGGACGGCCGCCGTGCCTTTTTTGGCGCGGGGGTGCCGTGGGGAGCGGGTGCCCGGAGCAGGGCCTCCTCCTCCTCCTCCTCCCCCTCCTCCTCCCCCTCCTCCTCCTCCTCCTCCTCCTCCTCCTCCTCCTCCTCCTCCTCCTCCTCCGCTCCTCCTCCTCCTCCTCCTCCTCCTCCTCCTCCTCCTCCTCCTCCTCCGGGGACTCGCCTGGCGAAACAATTTACCCGATGTCGAGCCCTGACATCTTACCAGCCTGGAACATGTCCCTATCCCTATGCTGGGCACCGCCTCACCACGATGCCAATCTCAGGGGTTCCCTTATGTTTTGAGGGCGAATCCCTGAGACTGTCATCGCCTCTTGGCGTGCCAATCTCAGGGATCGGGGTACGTTCGAGGCTGTGGTAGACATCCGACGACCTGTTTTTGCCCCTCCGCGTGTCCTGAGGCCCTCGTCCCACAGACCCCGTCTTGTGATGGCCACCGGGGCCCGAGGACGGGCCCCGGAGGTCGAACAGCAGGAGTAAAGCTGCAGGTGGAAGCAATCATCTCTCGCTACCGACCGCGTGGTTCCCTGGAGGTGTGGCCCTCCTCTCGCGCTGCGCACCTGCTTCTCATCACGAGTCGTTGTTGTCGCTTCTCTTTCACGAGTCGTACTTTCCACATGTGTTCACGCCCACGCGCCGCCTGGTGCATGGCTTGTCTGTCTGATTGCCAGTCTCACTCGGTCTGCCCAGGCGCGCTTCCGCGTGCCGTCAGGGGCCTGGCCCGCCGCGGCCGGTCAGCAGACCGCTTCTTCTCTTCGTCTTCAGTGCCCCGTAAGGGCCCCTGGAGGCGAGTGTGGCAAACACCGTCCGTCGTGTTTTTTTCACCTGGGCGGAGTGGTCAGGCTTGCGGGCCACAGCTTTATAGCCTCACGAGGCCGGGCACCCCTGGAGTGCTCGCAACGAGGCGCAGCTGCTGGCAGGCATCCCGAGGCGAGACACCTGGCAAACACCGACGACAGCTTTCGCGAACCTCCAGGGAGCGCCCGAGAAACGTCAGGGACAACTGCAAGAACCGACGAACGCATCCAAGACTCGTTCGAGAAACCTTCCAAGAACCTCCTGCCCCCGCTCCCCGCGCGGCCAGCGGCGCGGGGCGGTCCTCGGCGGATCCTCGGTCCTCGATCGGCGGGCCACGAACCTCGAACCTCGATCCCTGGTCATCGATCCTCGGTCCTCGAACCTCGATCCTCGGTCCTCGATCCTCGGTCCTCGGTGCTCTGTCCTCGAACCTCGACCCTCGATACTTGAGCCTCGATCCTCGATGCTTGAGCCTCGAACACTCGAACACGACCACGACCACGACCACGACCACGACCACGACGACGACCACGACCACGACCACGACCACGACCACGACCACGACGACGACGACGACGACGACGACGACGACGACGACGACGACGACGACGACGACGACGACGACGACGACGACGACGACGACGACGACGCGACGACGACGACGACGACGACGACGACGACGACGACGACGACGACGACGACGACGACGACGACGACGACGACGACGAACGACGACGACGACGACGACGACGACGACGACGACGACGACGACGACGACGACGACGACGACGACGACGACGACGACGACGACGACGACGACGACGACGACGACGACGACTACGACGACGACGACGACGACAACGACGACGACGACGACCGCGCAAGGCGTCGAGGCGCTCCGCGCCGCCAGCGGCGCGGCCGTCGAGGTGGAGCGCTCCGGCGGCAGGCTGCGGTCCGTGACGCTGCGTGGCCCGGCCGGGGCGCGGGAGAGGGCGGCGGCGCTGCTGCTCGAGGCCTCCCCCCCCACCCCTCCTCTCCCCCGGCAGGCGGGGCGGGGCCCCGCACGCAGCCACCGCCCCGGGGAGCTTCCTCCTCCTCCTCCTACTCCTCCTCCTCCTCCTCGTCCTCCTCCTCCTCCTCCTCCTCGTCCTCCTCCTCCTCCTCCTCCTCCTCCTCCTCCTCCTCCTCCTCCTCCTCTTTCCCCCCCCCCCCGGCAGGCGTGGAGAGTCGGAGGAGCACGTGCGGCAGGTTCGTGCCGCGTCGACTCGGCGACGGCCCCGTCGCGGGCGTGCAGGGCAGAGCGCCGCCAGAGGCCCAGGCGTTGTTCCTCCAGCTGCGGGCCCCGGGGCCACAGCGGCTGGATCTCGGCTCGAAGAATGCTCGGGGGCGGAAAAGAGGGGGGTGATGACTAGGGGGGGGTGGATATCATCGATTCACAGTCGCTAAAAAAGGACACGTGCCTTCATCTAGGGTCCCCTTGTGTCCTTGCCTCTGCGGCCCGTCTTTGCCGTTTCCGTTGGTCCCCCGCCGCTCAGAGAATCCCAACTTCGGCCGCGTCCATACCACCCGTCCGTAGTACACATTTTCACTGCACCCAGGGGCCGGAAGTTGACAAAAACCGTCCGTCGTTTTTTGTTGTTGTATCTGGACGCCCGAGATGGGTACGGAAAGAATGGGCACACTGCCCAGCAACAAATGTTGTCCCAGACCGACAGCGGCCGCTGTTGGGCAGGCGGCCTTCTGTCTCGAATGGACACAGGCCGCGGCGGCGTGGACAGCGAATCCTGTTCAAAATGAACAAGGTCTGCCGTTGGGCATTGTACCCATTCTTTCCGTACCCGTGTCGGGCGTCCAGACTGTCGCGACGCGCGAGCATGTCAGGGGCCTCGGGCCCCGCCGCTGCCGCCGCCGTTGCCGCCACGCCTCGGAGGGGAGGGGGCCCGCCGAGGCAGGGCCCCCTCCGCCGGCGTGCCTTGCGCCTTGGGATCGTTTTCTTTCAGCACTGTTCTGCCGATCGGTGCGGGCCCTCGCACGCCCTCCCCTCCCCCCCTGGAGCAGATCTTGGCTGTCTCGGGTGTCCTTTTCTCTCCTCAGTAGGACGCACTGTTGCAGACAGTCGCATGACGCAGAGGTCCGGAGCCAGACCCCCTGCCTCCCCTCGTTCTGCCCAATGTCGAAGCGCCGAATAAGAAAACGTTCACCTTCGAGAGGGGGCCTCCGGGGTGGAACCACCCAGATAGGGTTGCCATCGGCGGGCTTGGTCGCAGAATCGGAGGGCTGTATACGAATATCAGAAGGAGGACGAAGATGGGGGGGAAGAGGAGGAGAGGTGAGGAGGAGAGGAGGAGATTGGTTGACACAGAAGGGGGTCCAGCGAAAAGAGCGTGGTGAAAACATATCTGATGCAATAAATGTATGGGGTTGCATTGGACTGGGGGCGTGCACTACACTCCATTGCGCACATCTATTGTTAGATTTGCGCGTGCAGTGCACTAGTTGCAATACAATGCAATCCAATTGATCGACGCAGTCGATTTGCGTTGTACTTGCCCCTAATCTATTGCACCACCCTTGTTCGGTTGGACCCCCTTTTGTGGCCAACCAAAGAGTATAATGAGAAGAAGGAGTATAAACGGGAGGAGGAGGAGGAGGAGGAGGAGGAGAAGGAGGAGGAGGAGGAGGAGGAGGGGGAGGGGGAGGAGGAGGAGGAGGAGGAGGAGGAGGAGGAGTCGGAGGAAGAGGGAAGGGGGGGAGCAGAAGGGGGAGGAGCAGGTGGAGTCGAAGAACGAGGGGGACGAGGAGGAGGAGGAGGAGGAGGAGGAGGAGGAGGAGGAGGAGGAGGGAAGGGGGAGGACGGATAAGAGAGCAGGAGGAGGAGGAGGAGGAGTTGAAGGAGGACCATTGCAAACCCGAGACTCATCAACGATGCTGGGATTAATTTTCTCTCCAAGCTCCTTCTTATCAGGACCCTACAAGGGTTAATTTCCACTATGCAAAATGCCCCGTTTGGAGACAACCGTCTGAAGATCCTGAAGCGCACCAGAACATCATTCTCGGGACTCCAGCGCCACGAATCAACCTGACTGTTGCATCTTGACAACCGGAATCTTGCCAGAACACCATTCTTGGGACTTCAATTCAACACCGCGAGTAAGCGTAACTGTTGCGCCCTGGCAATCCTGAGTCGCTTCACCACACCGGGTGGGAATGCGTGAAAAAGCCTTGTAAATGTTTAAGACGAGCGCGCGCGGCGCTAAGACGAGAGCCACATTTTGAAAACGAGCCGCCCTCAATCCGTGAGGCTCCTCAGTTTTTCAAAGCGAACGTGCGCGGCGCTAAGGTGCGAGCTTCTGGTTGAGAACGGCTGACCTCAACTGCCGAAACTCGTGCAAATCGTTAGATCGAACAGGCGCTGCGCTAGGGCGAGAGTCTGGCCCGTTCTTCCGACCTGGCCCAGGGGTGCGGTAGGGAGGAGTTATTCAGTTGTTCATATGGGCGAGGAATCGAGAAGGGGAGGAGAAGGAGGAGGAGGAAGAGGGAGAGGCCGAGCAGAAGGGGGAGGAGCAGGAGGAAGGGGGAGGAGGAGTCGGAGGAGGAGGGGGACGAGGCGGAATAGGAGGAGGAAAGGGCGAGGACAGATAATAGAGAAAGGGGGGGAGAAGAAGGAGGAGGAGAAGGAGGCGGAGGAGGAGGAGAAGCAGGAGGCGGAGGAGGAGGAGGAGGCCGAGGAGTCGGGGGCGGGGAGGGGCTCCCAGTTGGCCCTCGTGCGCTGGTGCCCGGGCGCCGTGCCCCTCGGGCCGCGGCCGCGGCGCGCGCCAGGCCGCGGCGAAGCTCCCCGCGGGCGCGCCGGACGTGACACGGGCGCCCTCCCGCCCAAGGGGCGTGTGGGGGCCACGACAGAGGGGGCTGGCCCCTCCTCCTCCTTCTCCTCCTCCTCCTCCTCCTCCTCCTCCCCCTTCTCCTCCGTAGTCGCACCACGGCCCACAGGTGCGCCGCGCGACTGAAGCCCCACACTCACTATCCGAACCCTTGCACGCTCTCTATGGGAGCAGATGATGGCAGCAGGGCGAGGAGCAGGGAACGGCGGCGGTTGGAGACTCGTGCGAGTTATGTCTTACAACCCTCTCACCGCCGCGGCGCCAGGCAGACTGGTGGACATCTCCGAGCAGTTCGACGGCTTCGACGTGCTGATGCTGCAAGGAACGGCTCTGAAACACAGGGGCGAGGTGTCCAGAAGTAGCACGATGAATCACTTTTACTACCATGCTGGGCACAGTGCGAGCAGTAATGGATCTTGTGGTGTAACCATCGGTCTTCATGCAAAGCGCTACAAGCCACAGTATGTAATTCGAGTGGCGGCACCCAAAGGACGATTGAAGGGACGTGGGCTCATGATTAGATATCGACGAGGTAGACAAGATTTTGCAGTTTTTTTCTCTTTACTTCCCAACTAGAGGGAAAGGCAAAGGAGCAGCAGCGTATCAGAGAACAGTTTCACAAGAGTTATCCACATGGCTACATGAGCAAATGAACAGACTACCGTCAAGATGTGTCCCCATCATCGGCACCGACCTCAACTCAACATGCGGAGCAGATTACATGGAGCCGAGCATTTCGGGTGACTGCGAGGAGGACAAGCACGGGGTCAACTACGGCATTGTGGGGCCCACACTGACGGCACATAACATGGCGATGGCCAACACATTTTATGAGGCAGGCGTCACCTACTACGGCATAGCGGACAATGTGCGAAAGAGGATTGATTTCATCATAGTCCCGAGAGCGATCTTACAAAATACTCAAGAGTGTATGGTTGCATGGAGAAAGGGGAAAGCACTTCAACATATTCGATGTGCAGGTCCAAAAGATCATTATCCAGTGGTTTTGTCTTTTTTTCACTCCTACGAGCGGGTACATCAGCAGAAAGGACCAAGAAAGCCAAATGCTGAGGCGTGTAATGCGATGCTGTTGTACGGATACCAACGAGAAAGATTCATACAACAAGTCGAAGCACAATTACAGGCAAACATATAGTTATTTGAGCAATGGGAGTTTGAGGGCAACGTTGACATGATCAATGCGGGAATGATGCAATGTATCGACAGAGTGGCACGAGCGCAGCTGAGGGACACGCCAGGCTACACGGAGAAGGTAGAGGACAGCTTCAACCAATGCCAAGAGGGTCGTGAACTACTACGTCACCGAAGACTGGCCAAAGAGCAAGAGCGTGAACATGCATATTTGAATCCCAGCATTGCTCGACTCAGCAGAAAGTTGAAGCATCGAAAAAAGGTGATGATGGATGAGTTACTTGCGAAACGAGTGGAAGCACGATGGGAAGCATGGCGCGAGAGAAAGTTTACGATGCACATCGGCTAGCCAGACTAGTAGCAGGTACCTGCAGAGGGCCACGTGGCAGACATTACAGCAAGGTCCCGACATCAAGAGCCTCAGCAATGGACTGGATCAGTAAGTTTCAAAAGGAGGGTCCAGAGGGAGGAGCTGAGGCAAGGGCACTGCTGAGATGCGCTGCGCCACTTCGCGCCGTCGGCTTCTGGAGGCAACCCTTTACTGAGAACATTATCGGCAACAACGATCACCAGCCTTCATTGCTTGAATGGACGGGAGCCAATGACGACGAAATGATTGACTACCAAGCAGCGCACGAGCATGCACTTCATGATGTTGAGAAGCTTCACAGGGCAATAAAAAAGCTACCGTCTTGGAGGTCGACGCCTGACTGGAGTGCATCGGGAGACCTATTGCGAGTTCTCGCCATGCCCAACTGGCATTACAAAAAGCAGCACAGAGCAGGACTTCGAGCAGCAGCAGACCCACCTGCACCAGAGCGCGAACCAGTTTCACAACAGGCTACGACTACGGGACGAGGAGCAACAGTCTTTCAGCGAGGACACCTGCTACATGACGAAGCAGCACCACTGCGAGAAGATCACGCAGCTACGTCGGCGGATGGTCTTTCTCGCAGTGCCTCGACACCAACGCGATGGGGGGCAGCAGACCAGGAGTTCGCCGACCCATTAGAGGACCTTGTCCACGACAGCGGCGTCGCCGCCCCACGGGCTGCTGCACAGAGAGAGCACAGCTCATCGCCAACTGAAGGAGCAGAAGACTCTACAGAAGCAACTATGGAATTGCAAGCACCGGTGTTTGAGAAATGCCTTTACCTTCTCTGCCGCACAGCACGTCGAGAGGGACGAGTACCTGCAGTTTGGCATCAGGCGCAGCGTTGCAGATTGCCAAAACACAATGACAAGGAGAATACGGCAGGGGAAAGACCCATCATGATTTTCTGTGGACTTGGACGATCTTACTATCGCTCCATCATGGATCCCAAGGCTTGCTTTCCTTATTGGGCACATGGTGGCATTTCCCATCGCAGACGCGAGGATGCAATGATGGTTCAGATGTGTGGTTCTGCGCGCCTTCGCCGAGCAGGGGTTCACCACATCGCGCGACTACACGATGCCAGCAATGCGTTCTATTGTGTACACAAATCGAAAGCAGGAGAAGCAGCTGACGAATTGGTTTCAACAGAGCGAGTGGACATGGTCTACCAGAGGCTTGTCAACAGCTCATTCATCATCGATGACGGCGCACACAGTGGACACATGGCAAATCAGACAGGTGTACTACCAGGCGACCACGCAGCCACAAAAATATTCTTGAAAGCATACGGCAAGGGAATTCAGCAATTGATTGATCACATGAATGTGGATCCATGGCAGAGGGCATTACACATGAAGATGCCAGATCAACTCCAGGCGCCACGTCACAGTGATCCGCCCGACTTTGCAACATCTGTTTTTGTGGATGATGTAGCGCGGAAGCTCATCGGTGCGAATGCGAAGCACTTGGCCGCAGTCGCACAGTGGGAAAACAAAATACTTGATGCAGCATTATCGGACCTAGGAGGAGCACAGAACGTTGAGAAGCAAATGAACATTGTCCAGGGTTCAGGCAGAGAAGCAGGACTCCTCAATCGCAAATTTCATGAAAAAAACATGTCCGGATTGAAGGTCCGGCATTTTGCCGAGGCTCGTTATCTAGGAGGGCGTGTACATGTCAACAATGGGTTCTCAGCTGAAAAGAAGTTTCGAATGCAGGCTCTCCGTGCGGCGTGGCACAGAATGGGCAAGTTTTGGACGGCTCCACGGGTCTCCATGAGGTTCAAAGGGATTGTCTTCGCGGGGCTGATCATCAATGCAGCCATCTCGGGCCTTGAGGCTTACGTGCTCAACATGCGCACCCCCGTCACAGAGCAGAGTCTGGCGCCTCTACAACAGATCGTTTTCAAGTTTGCCAGGGTTGTGCTTCGAGGAAGATACACTCAGAGACAAATAGATCGCACACGGGCCCCCTCCAACATCGAGGTTCAGAGGCACCTACACTTTGGGACGCTGTTCACGAAGCTACGCATACGACGACTTAAATGGTTGCAAGAAATGGTAGCACATCAGCAAGCTCATGAGCAAGCTATCGCAGCACTAGTGGGACAAGCCGAATGTGAGCAGCAGAATTTAGATGTAGATGCAAATGGGGTTGTTTTACCCACCGCCAATGCATGGCTAAAGCAGTTTTGGCAAGATTTAGAGGCACTCGAGGGGGGCCTCGGAGGGGCCAAAGTTGCTCGCAGAGTTGGGAGGCAGTTTTTTGAATCTGTTTAAAGGGGAAGCCAGGGACTCGTTTTCCAGAATAAATGTTTCAGAGCTCAGATCCAAGGAGCTAGCGCGCACAGTTCCTCCTCCAGGCCAGGGACCTGACGAAATCATCTGTCCCCCCACGCCAGAGACAGGGGGTGTGCCTGGCACTCTCTGCCCTATCTGTGAGCAAAGCTTCAGGGATCAGAAGAGTATGGCGGCGCATTGCGTGCTGACGCGTGCCAGAGGTAGAACTGACACGGAGGAAATTCGGAGGAAGGTTTGCGCCACTGACAGAATCCCACACATTGCCACGTTGTCGAATAATTGTATCTTGTGCCAGAGCAATTTCGCAGATCGAGCCACAGCCCAGTGGCACCTGGCAGCGGCGATACTGAACAGACGTTGCATGTCTGACTTTAGCGTGCGAGCCCCTCGGCGTCAACCCCATGCTATCACACAGTGTCCGCTGTGCTTGTTTGTCGCTCAAGCACCAGAGCAGCTTGATCAGCATCTTGCCAGCACTCACGTTTTACCTCAGATTCAGCAGCACATCATTCATCTCGACGTCGGCGTGGCTGGACTCGGGGATGGCGCAGGAGGGGGTCAGTGGCAGGCACCAGAAGCAGAACAAGGGCACGGGGCGCTGCGCGGACACCCAGGAGGGGAAGCTACTATCGCAGATGGAGGCGCGGATGAGGGAGCGGGAGAAGAGCGACAAGCACTTCAAAGGCCCGTCGGGCCACCCTGCCTGTTTGGCAATCAAAGAGTCCACCATTAAGTACGAGGAGAGCGTCAAGTCAGCAGGGGCAGGACACGAGTTCGAATATCCACGCCTTCACGCATGCACATCCATGGACGAGGAAATGCGATGCATCTTCGCGGTGAGAACCAGGCTCAAAGCCGACCGCCTCGCATCAGTGCCAGCGGAGTTCGAAGACTGGGGCGACACGTGCATGGCGAGCGAGAGGCAGCAGAAACAGGGAGTGGCAACTACGTTCAAATTCGTGGGCCATCGGCCCGTCGGGATCAACGAAGATCAAGAGACAGAGTTCAATCAGCTGAAGTTACATTTCTCCGAGAAGAACACGAAGAGCGGCCACATGTGGGAGGAGGAGGGCCTCAGAGCGGCGGGCCTCCAGAAGTTCCCAGGCTAGGATCCCGCGGGCGGGTTCGAGTACGGGCTCAGGGCGAAGTGAGGACCGCAGCAGATGCCAGCAGCGTGAGAGGAGGAGTAGGCAGCTTATCAGCAGTGCAGGTTCCCTCTCCTCCTCGTCCTCCTCAGGGCTCCGAGCTGCCTTCCCTCTCCTATCTTCGCCCCCTCAGTATCAGACACTGGGAGGACAGGCTGGAGGCCCTCAAGACTAGAGTCAGATTGAGAGAATTGGCTCGCGAGAGCCGATAAGCACCCCTGCGCCGTGGTGTCACCGCTGGCGCTATGCGCGCCCTCAGCGGCGGCACCAGGCCTTGCGTTCCCTTTTCGAGTCCCAGGCCCCCTGGTATGCGTTAAACCCAGGCTCTGCGGTGCCCGCAAGTAGTCAGCTATGCTAGCTGATATGGACATCGATGCAGATAGCAGCAGCTTCTCCTCCGTCTCCATCTCTTCCTCCTCCTCCTTCTCCTCCTTCTCCTGCTCCGTCTCCTCCTCCTCCTCCGTCTCCTCCGGTCTCCTCTCCCTCCTCCCCCTCCTCCTCCTCCTCCTCCTCCACCTCCTCCTCCTCCTCCTACTCCGTCTCCTCCGCTCTCCTCCTCCTCCTCCTTCCCCTCCTCCTTCGCCGCCTCTTGCTTGAAGAGTAGAACAGAAATTTATGCAATAGCAATGTAGCACCGCAGTGGAGCAGCACAGGAACAGCAACAGCGATCGTAATAGTGGTAGCGGTAGTAGGATTACGAGTGGATGGTGTAGAAAAAGAATAATTCTAGACGCTTCGCGTAACCCCACCACTTCCTCACCTTTTGTTGCATGGACGGTGCGGCCAAGCCTGGCCACCCCGTGCCGCCGCAGTGCGGCGTGTTCCACGCCCTTTCGCGCTGTACGGTACGGCCTGAGCTTGGCTCCACGTGTGCGACAGCTCCTTTCCGTCCGCTTCCGGCTCTGTGCTTGCGTCCCCATCTGTCGGGCCGCCTGCGTCAGCCCCCAATGAGGGTCATTTTGTCCCTGGCATGTGCACTTGCTACAGCGGCCTATGCGCCTCTGCAGCCAATTATCTCGCTCTGTGGCCCAGACGATATATCCCCGCTCGCTGGATCTGTCCTTTGAGCCGCCAGTCAAAAAGTAACCCCACCACTTGCTTCTTGCCGCCTGACCTTTTGTCTCGCGGCCGCAACCAAAAAAAATCACCCCACCAGCCCCTCCAGAAAATATGCCCAGAGGAACGGCCTCGATCAGGGAAGTGGGCAACACACCGAGGAAGGGTCCCCCAGTGGAGGCCTCTTGGAGCGTCTTGGTGGCCTCTTGGCGGTCCTGGACTTGGGTGCCTCGGAGGGCGTCTTGGGGCCTCTTGGGGGTCTTTCGGGAGCCTCCTGGAGGCCTCTTGGGCGCCTGTTGGGGCCTCCTGGGCGCCTCTTGGGGCCATCTTGAAGCGCTCTTGGAGCCATCTTGCGGCCTCGGCGAGAAAGCCAAAGAGATTGATTGCCCTAAGGTTTTGGAAGGATTTTGGCCTCTTCGGGGCCTCCTGGGAGAGCTCGCTGGCCACTTGGAGCCGTCTTGGAGCGGTCTTGGGGCCTCTTGGAGCATCGTGGGAGCGGTCTTGAGGCATCGTGGGATATCTTGAGCCATCTTGGCGGTCATCTTGGGCGTTCCCAGGCGCTCTTGGAGTCATCTGAAGCAGTGCCCCCCCCCCTCCCAGGAGGCCAACATGTTGCCAAAACTTGGTAAATTCAATGATTGTGGCACTGTCGCCGAGGCCTCTTGGAGCGTCTTGGGTGCCTCTGGGGGGCCTCTGGGGGCCTCTTGGGGGTCTCTTGGGAGCCGCTTGGGGGCATCCTGGAGGCCTCTTGGGAGCCTCTTGGGGCCCATGCCTCTACCCTTCGCCCGTTTTCCCCGTTTTGGGCCTCCTGGGCGGCCCTCGTCGCCACCGCTGGACTTGCCTCGAAACTCTGGTCAGAACGCACCAGGGAGAGGTCCGGAGAGTAGCGGTATCGGTGCCTTTTGATTTCCTCACAAGAGGGGGGAGTGTGACTAGGCGGTGGCGGATATCTTGGCCGGGGTCACCAAACTTTACGGATTTCATGGCGCCCCCTTCTCCCTTCAACACGTCCTTCGGTAGCAAATCATGGGAGCCTGGTATGCCCTTTTCATTTCGTCTCCAGCGTCGAGTCGCCTCGATTAGCGTCTGGGAGTGGATGGGATAGCGCCGATTTGGCGTCGATTAGAGTCGATGTAGCGTCGATGTAGCGTCGACAGGCGTCGATTTAGCGTCGACCAGCGTCGATTCGCAAGAGCCGACAAGATGGTAAACCTCCACGGGTTTCATGGCGCCCCTCTTCTCCCTTCAGCGCGTCCCCCTTGTCCCCGCACGTGCCTCGGGCCATGATTTGCCCGAGCCCCCGTCTTGGGTGGACACAGATGTCCGACGTTTTGTGTTTGCTCGCGGCGTGTATCCCCCCCAGGCCTGAACTCCTTCGCCGGGATTTTTGTTACGTCGAGCAGTTGTGTTTTGCAGGGCCCAGTGAGGGCCTCTCGTGCTAAACGCTCACCATCATCATCATCATCATCATCATCATCATCATCATCATCATCATCATCATCATCATCATCATCATTATCATTATCATTATCATCATCATCCTCATCATCATCACCATCACCATCACCATCATCAACATCAACATCATCATCATTACCATGATCCTCACCACCATCATCATCATCATCATCATCAACATCATCATCATCATCATCATCACCATAATCATCAGCATCATCCATCAACGTCATCGCCATCTTAAAATCATAGTCATCATCACCACCATCACCATCATCATCATCATCAGCATCATCAGCAGCAGCTTCATCAGCATCATCAGCATCATCATCTCCGAACCTCTCGCAGCATGCTTTTTGTTGTTTCGAGTCCACATAACTCATATAACCTGACATGTTTTTCTTCGTATACACTGTGCGAAGAAAGTATGTACCATGACCGCAGACCTTCGAACACCATACATTTTTTTTGTCAGGATATTCGATGAACATGTCACTTTTGGGCTGCATTATTCTGTAATTCGTCGGTCTTGGACTCGATCCCAGCCACCCGGCGGCTCCAATTGTTTCGATGCGTGGGCCCCGGAGGTCTGGACCACTTCCCTGTAGGGCTGGCTTCTCGTCATGCGTCGATGTCTGACGTCCCCGGAGGCCTGGCGAGGGCCCCCTCGGAGGCCGAAGCTCCAATGTTTTTATTTTGTTGGGAGCGTCGGCGGCTCTCTGGCATAAGGCTGCGGCGCGAGGATGTCCGGGCACGCCCCCCCTCTTGCAGGGGGCCACGTGCGAGCCCTGCCCCTGCCCCCCCACGACTTCAGGGGGGGTCGCTGCTGGGGTTCACTCCGCTCGGGAGCTCTCCCGAGCGGAGTGAACCCCACCCTCCGCCCCCAGAAATCGTCGGGGGGTAGGGGCAGGGCTCGCAGGTGGCTCCCTATCGGCGGATCTCTGGGATGGCTGCGGCGCGACGAGGTCAGGGCACGCCCCCTATCTTGTGAGGCCCCCCCCCCTGACAAACCACAGGTGCTGGTGCCCGCGGCCGTGGCCGGCTGCTCCGCCGGCCTCGCGGCCGTCCGGGACCTCGTGCTGGAGGTGGTCGGGGACGACGCGTGGGCGCAAGCAGCGGCGAAGCGTCCTGGCTCGCCTCTAGCCCCACCAAACACTGTGCTAAGAACCTTTTGTGTGGTTTCCACGACATGTTCTTAGGACATTTCTGGCGGAGTCTGTCTTGTTGAATCACATCGGGTTCATGTTCTAAGAACATTGTTTTTGTTATTAGAACATCTTTCGATTCTAAAAACATTTCGTGGTAGGACTATAGGAATGCCGGGACGGTCGGTCCCTGCTTAATGGGCGGGGGCCGTGACTCATGGACCCCTGATCTCTGGGCCTCCCCACCCATGGCCCCCTCGCGTTTTGACACCAATCACGGCGGCAGGTGTTTCGCGGGTTTCGGCCTCCTGAGGGGCTCTTGCCGGGCCCCGAGACCGTCAAACCATTTTTCAGGATGAAAGACCGGCCCTGGGAAGGGGCCCAGACTTTTGGGACGCACCGACCCCTCATTTCTAGGCCTCAGGAGGTCTTTAGTTTTGATCCCCCCTTGTCTTTCGGCGGTAAATAGGACTGGTCCTAAAACTTCCTCCTCCTCCTCCTCCTCCCTCTCTCCCTCCTCCTTCTCTTCCTCCTCCTCCTCCTCCTCCTCCTCCGCTTCATCCTCCTCCTCCTGCTCCTCCTGTCTTCTCCCTCTGTTCCTCCTCCTCCCCGCCGCGGAACAAATAGTTACCCTCTATGGGTGGGGCCCCAGTCGTTCGGTGAGGCCGCGCCGAACAAATAATCAGTCCCCCCTAGTTTTCGGGGGGGGGGCCTGAAGACTTGTCGCGGTCGATTTCGCAGCCAGGGTGTCGCAAAGGACATTGGGATACTCAGGAGGGAAAAAAACACACAGACACAATTAATCGTCGATTCCCCAGAAAATATTGGAAAATATGGGAAGTGGGGGGGAAGACAAAAAACCAGAAACTATTGGAAAATACAGGGAATCTTTTTATTTGTGTGTATTTATTTGTGTGTCCTGGGGCCCCTTCAGATACGTGGAACCACCGAGTCCTTCCTTGGTTCCGGGTCGGAGGCTCGCGCCCCCCTTGTGCGTATGCGTCGCCAATGAGTGCGGCACGATGTGGGGCATCCCCGGCTTTCTCCAGGCAGGCAGACCATTCTCGGGATGGGAGGATAGGGTTGGATTCAGCAGATTTCGAGGACGGGCAGTGTTCGATTTATCACGTTTCGAGGACGACTTCTTGGACGTCATGACCTCGCAGTAGCCTGCCTGCAGTTTTCATATCTCGGAAGGGTGCGTCTCATTGCATGTTTTCCATCGCCGTCTCCAGTTGTGGGGCGCGTGCGGCCTCCGCGCGCGATCGGACCTGACCTGACCTGACCTGAGGAACCCTTTTCGTTTGGCAGGGTCTCCGTGTTCCTTAGAGGTGTTACCGATTGCCTATAGGTTCACCTGTGGCTATCGATCGGAAATCGAAGTTACATTTAAAGGAAAAAGGGGCCTCGCTCCTTCTTTATCGTTCCTTAGGTCAACGCCCCGGCTGTAGGCTTGGGTGGGATGAGGATATCAGTGCCGGTAGGCGGCCGGAGGTGTCGTTCGTTGCATCAAAATGCTGTTGCTCATGCCTCTGCCTCCTCCCAACCCCTGCCGCCCAGCACGACGATTGTGCTCCCCACCGACGCATCGCCAGCGCGGCGCGATCTGGAGCGCCCGACTGTCTCCAGGCCGACGGCGCCGATGCATCGCCCACGTCGACGAAGCATCGCCGATGCCTCGCCGATGCCTCGCCGATGCCTCGCCGATGCGGCGAGAGCCTCCGACCCCAGCTGCTCGGATCCCACTTGGGAGGCCTCCAGTTAGGGGGTGTAGGCTCCGGGGGGGATGCCTCGATCCCCCAATCTCAAACCCTCTCGCGCTGCGAACAAAAAAAAACGGACGGTTTTTCTATACTTTCAGCCTCTGGGGGCCCGGGGCCCTCGCCGGCACCTGGGATCGGGCCGGGCGAAAGGGGGGGATTGGGAAAGGGGGGGTTACGAAATTTGCTGCATGCAGCTGGTTTCGGCTTCACCGAGGGGCCCATTCCTCGATACATAGCCGCCTCCGGCGCCGGGAGGCGCCGGGAAAATCAGCTACGTGAGCTGATTCTCAACCCCCCCTTTGCTATCCCCCCCTTTCGCCCGACCCGATGGGACCGTAAGAAGAAGACTCCGGATGAGAAGCCGGTCTCGGGGAAGGGGTCCTGACCTCTGGGGGCTCGTGCCATGAACAAATCTGACGCCCGGGGTCTGGGACTCATTGCCCATAGGGGGGCCTGTCAGCCCGTTCCGCCAAGGAGCATGGAGTTCTGCAACAGTCGGACCGAGGTACAAGATCGAGGTTGGTTCGGGGAGGGTGCCCTAATGTTTTTCGCGGTTGTTGGATACTCTTGCGTATCCTGGGGAGGGTGCCCTTTGGCCAGGGGAGCGTTTTCATGTTCTTGAAGGATGTTATTCTGGCCTACAGTCAACCCGCATCGTAAGGATGAGCAACCTTCTCAAGGGTACCCTTGCATCCTTGCCTCTTCGGTCCATCCTTCGCCACTTTCCTTGGCCGCGCCCCGCTCGAAAAGGTTCGAAATGGGCGTCCAATGGCACTTGCATCCTTATGGCGCATCCTTATGACACGGGCCGGGTACAGGTCCGACGGCCCCTGCATCCTCATCGCGCACCCTTATTTTTTTTGCTGTAGGCGACTGCCACACTAGGCTCCCGCGGGGATTAGAGGGCAGGCATGAAAATGGCGGGCACACGAGGCCCTACTTGCCGATGATGACCAAATTGTTAAACGAGTTTAACGAGAGCGTGAAGAACATGCCGGATCTATGAGCATTGTGGGATAAGCTTCCAGACCCATAGCGTTACGACGAACGTTCGAAAGTGATTCAAACCGTCGCGCACCCTTATGATACGGGCCAAATGTAGGTCTAACGGCATCGGGGGGCCCAGCGCCGATCCATCGGCGACGTGTCGCCGTTCCGTGTCGATGTTCCCCCCCGAAGCCGATCCCCTTCATATCGTTGCCCCTCGAGGTAGGGCAGGCGCCTGGCTTGGGCGTCGAGCTGACGGACCCCGGCCCCGAGGGCGAGAGGCTCCACACTCCCGCCTCGGGAGGGGGCTTCCTCTCAGAGGAAGGCAAGGTGCCGATTCCGCCACCATGGCCACGTCTTCGCCTTCTTTCGGGAGCGGAAAAGAGGGGGGTGATGACTAGGGGGGGGTGGATTTCATGGCGCGGGCCATGATTTTTCCCCAGATTTCATGGCGCCGCTTCTTATTTCATTATGTCCCAGGCCCCCCCGCTGGGCCGCGCACATGCCGCCGGTCATGATTTGCACCCCCCCCTCTTGGACACCCCCCTCTTGGCCGCTCCCGATCTCAGAGGAAGGCAAGGTGCCGAGTCCGCCACCATGGCCACGTCTTCGCCTTCTTGTGGTTTCCAGGGGGGCCATCGTCGCCACGGGCGGGTTCGCCCGGAGGTCCTGTTCGGAAGGCGCCTTGGGAGAGGTCCGGGGAGTAGCGGTGCCGGTACTCTTTTGCCCCCATATCCTCGCGAACCCTTGTCCTCCTCGAACTGTTTCTCCTCCTCCCCAGACCCTCTGGCTTCATCAAATCCGATGTCGAATTTCCAGCGACCCGGTGCGGCCGGGTGTTCGCGATGGCTTTGTTGTGCGCCCTGGCCCCGCCGACTTTGTTCGGTCTTTCGGCTCCGTGTCCAGGCAGTCTGACCTCCACGCACATTCCGATTCGAGCCTTATGATGTTCCAACCTACTTTAGTTCAGGAGGGAAAAAAACACAGACACAATTAATCGTCGCATCCCAGGAAAATATGGGAAAATATGGGAAGTGGGGGGGAAGACAAAAACCCAGAAAATATGGGAAAATATGGGGAATATTTTTATTTGTGTGTATTTATTTGTGTGTCCCGGTTCCCCTTCATTTAGTCTCGACCACCAGGAAGAATTTCGAGCACCAAGGGAAGTACCGAAGCTGGAGGGTCTTCACGCGTCGGGCCCTGCGAGGCGATACTCGTTCGGCACCGTTTCGCTACTTTTCTGGGTGCTCGAACTTATTGAAGGGCTCCCCCGAGGGCGCGAAGTTATTCGCGCTTCGCGCTTCGCGGTCCTCGTTCCTCCTCCCCCTCCTCCTCGTCCTCCTATTCTCCCTTTGGGAGGGCGGCGCGAGAGCGCGAAGTTATTCGCGCTTCGCGCTTCGCGCAGCGCGAAGCGCGAAGTTGGGAGCCCTAGTCGAACTTATTTCTGGGATATGGTCTTTGAGCACGATGGTAGCAGCACAATTCGAGCCGGCTTTCCGGCTCGATGCTGACTGATCTTGCCTTCCCTCTGCACGAACGAGATGGGCACGGACAGAAGGGGTACAATGCCCAACAGCAGCTCCTGCTCATTTTGAACAGGACTCGCTGTCCGCGCCGCCGCGGCCCGTGTCCACTCGAGACGGAAGGCCGCCTGCCCAGCAGCGGCCGCCGTTGGTTTGGGACGACATTTGTTGTTGGGTATTGTATCCATTCTTTCCGTGCCCATTTCGTCAAGGGTACGAAAAACGCCCTTACCCTGGTTTGCGAGGCGCTGTGCGCTGAAACTCCTGTGGGCTGGTAAACCTTGCGTGATGTGCCGCGTCCTGGCGGCTCTAGGCTTTTGGGCTTCCCAGGAGGTATACAGACCACGCACTTGTAACCCCGGGTAGGGTCGTTTCTTCATCCCTCAATTTCGGGCGTCCAAATTCCCCAGGCACGGGCCCCCCTCGCGTCGTGGAAGCAGCAGGGCGGACGGGTCCCGACGACCGCCCAGCGTCTGGGGGGGGGGCCCTCGCCTGGCCCCCGCGCGGCCCGTCAAAGGCCACGGCTCGGGCTGCAGAGGGCCCGTCCCGGGGCCGCGGCCCGCCACAGAGAGGATGTGCACGGGCACGCCCCGATTGGATGGCTCCTGGACCTCGAGGCAGGGTGGCGGTGGTCGTTGGCGGGTGTTTGTGTATATGTGTAGATGTGTATATGTATACGTATGTATGTATGTATGTATATATATATATATGTAAGATCCATTTACATATGCATATATATATATATATATATATGTGTAGTCGGTATTCGGGCCGATCGATAGGGGGTATGGGCGACATTTGAACAGGCCGTGCTGCCAGTGTCGTCGCGGGCATTGCCCGCTTGAGACAGGGGCCGCCTGCCCAACAGCGGCCTCTGACGGTTTGGGGCAACACGTGCTGTTGGGCACCGTGCCCATTTGTTCGTACCCATTTCTCGGCGGCGAGCCCAGGGGGGCTACGGTGGGACGACGAAATGTTGCAAGTTGTTCCTGGCTGCGCACGGCTGCGCCTACATTGCGACGCCACCTCGACGAAACGCCCCCGCCCCCTACATTTCAATGTTGGCATCGAGCGATCACCCCAAGTCCGGGAGGACAAAATAATGCAAGTCAACATTGAAATACGGGGGAAGGGGGAGCGATATTTTGTCCGCCCACTGTAGTGAGAAGCGGCGGGCCTTCTCAGAGAGCTCGGAAGCCCCCCATGCCTTTTGATAAGTGTCCCACGCCTTTTCCCCGAAGACACCGGACAACAGCCAGAAGGCGCGAGGGCCTCTCAGAAGGCCCACCACCTTCTGAGAAGGCCTGGAGCTGGGCACCAACACCAACACACGAAGAGCTCGACCTCCTCCCCCTCCCCCTCCTCCTCCTCCTCCTCCTCCTCCTCCTCCTCCTCCTCCTCCTCCTCCTCCCCCTCCTCCTCCTTCTCCCCTCCTCCTCCTCCTCCTCCTCCTCTCCTCCTCCTCCTCCTCCTCCTCCTCCTCCTCCTCCTCCTCCTCCCCTCCTCCTCCCTCCTCCTCCTCCTCTTCTCCTCCTCCTCCTCCTCCTCCTCCCCTCCGCCTCCTCCTCCTCCTTCCTCCTCCTCCTCCTCCTCCTCTCCTCCTCCTCCTCTCTCCTCCTCCTCCTCCTCCTCCTCCTCCTCCTCCTCCTCCTCCTCCTCCTCCTCCTCCTCCCCCTCCCCCTCCTCCTCCTCCCTCCTCCTCCTCCTCCTCCTCCTCCTCCTCCTCCTCCTCCTCCTCCTCCTCCTCCCCCTCCTCCTACACAGGGATTTGCCTCCCCCCCTTGCTCGCCGCCGACATTTACTCCGACCCCATCCAGGAAGCATGGCATGCTATGTTTTGGGGGGGTGGGCCCGACGGGCCGACCGCGGACGTGGCCTCCTCCCGGGCTCGGGGCGGGCGACGGGCCAGTGCCTCCGACGATCTCTGCTCCAGGGCTCCGCCTACCCCCCCCCCTTCGCGAGAGGAGGGGGAGGCGGAGGAGGAGGCGGGGGGGGGAGGCGGAGGAGGAGGAGGCGGAGCAGGAAGCGGAGGAGGAGGCGGAGGAGGAGGAAGAGGCGGAGGGAGGAGGCGGAGGAGGGGAAGCGGAGGAAGGAGGAGGAGGAGGAGGAGGAGGAGGAGGAGGAGGAGGAGGAGGAGGAGGAGGAGGAGCAGGATCGCCTCGCTCCCCCCCCCACGCTGGATGGGTACGCCTCGCCTCGACTGTCCTCGAACCTCCGCGCAGGCTCGTCTGCCTCTCCGGCGGCAGCCCCGCGGCCACGCGGCGACCGGATTTGCAACACGAACGGCTCCGGGCCTGGAGCCGGAACCAGAATTATGCGGCGAGCGAGGGGGGCAATTGAGAAGGAGCAGGCCTTCTCAGAAGGCGGCGGGACTTCTCAGAAGCCCTCACGCCTTCTGAGAAGTTTGTTCTGTCTTCGGGGAAGGCTTAGAAAATTTCTCAGAAGTCCGGGGGACTTCCGAGCCTTCTGAGAAGGTACGCCCCTTCTCACTTCCCCCCTGGTTCGCCGCCTAAGAACCTGAGCCAGATCAAAAATCGGGAGCCTCGAGACGGGGGTCAATGCAGACGGGTGTCAGCCAGGGCACTGGATCCTGCAAGGTCCTGCGAAGACCCCCTCTGGCTGACCCGGGTCAGCGAGCCGCTCGTGGCCGCGAGGCGGCCGCGCATGTTGGCCGACCCGGGTTTGCGAAGCCCTGCGTTGCAGTTTTTGTGTCCTGCATTGCAGTTTTTTGGTTTCTTGCTGACCCGGGTCTGCGTTGACCCGGGTCAGAAGATCCCCGAACCAAAACGGCGATCGAATCGGCAAAGCACCGTCGAACCGGAACCGGCCACAGAAGCTGCAGGCCGAGAACGGCCGCAAGAACGGCTTTGTCGTTTCCATGGCCCACCGTGGTCTGCACCACCCGTTTTTTAGACACGCCCTGACTGTACAGTCGGGGCTCTGAGGAAGGAACCCTTTTCGTTGGGGAGGGGCTCGGTGTTCCTTAATTGTTTTGCAGTTCACCTTTGGTTTCGCTTAGGGTTTCGATGGGAAATCAAAGTTAAACTTATGGGGAAAAAAGGGCCTCGTTGCTTATTTAGGGTTCCTTGGGTCAACGCCCCTTCTGTATGCCAACTCCCGCGCAGGCTCGTCTGCCTCTCCGGCGGCAGCCTCGCGGCCACGTCGCGCGCGGCGCAGCTGCTCGCCGCGCGGCTGCCCGAGGCCCCCGCGCGCCCCCCCGGCGGCGCGGCGCCCGCGGAGGCGCAGCGGTCCGCGCCTCGGGCGCGGCGCGATTTGACGACGACGACGACGACGACGGCGACGACGACGACGTCGTGATTTGACGACGACGACGATTTGACGACGACGACGGCGACGACGACGACGGCGACGACGATTTGACGACGACGACGACGACGACGACGACGACGGACACGGGGACAACGGACACGGGGACGACGGCGACGACGTTCGGTGTCAGCTGTCCTACGCTCGAAGGAGAAAACGCGCCAAAGCCAGCAGCTTGTGGCTCTCCGCGCGTGCTTCTCAGATCCGCGCTGGGCCCCCATGGCGGCGCCTCCGGCGCCGGTCCTGGCGCGCTCCGCGCGCCAGAGAGGGGGTCTCTAGCGCGGATCCGAGAAATCCACGCGGACCGTCGAAGGTGTATGCTCATGTTGTTGTTTGTTCCTCTATGGCATAGAGGAAAGCATAGACCACTCTCGAGGGGGCTCAAGACATCTCGGCTCTGGGGTTGTAGACCTGGCTACCGCCGGGTACCTCGTAGTTGTTGTAGAGACCTGGTCCCTCCGGAGACGTGGGACCTCTACAACAAGGTTTACCCCGAGATGTCTAGAGCCCCCTCGAGAGTGGTCTACCAGATCTCAGGTCGCGGTCCTCGTGCGTAGCATAGAGTCTATGCTGCGCACGTCTTGACGTACTTCACGTGCCGTGTTCAAGACGTGCCGTGCTGACGCATTGCGTGTCGGCACGGCACGTGGTGGCCCGCGCTCTGGCGGCCGCATCGCGTCAGAGCTACGTGTTCGGTCTGCGTGTTGAGCTCCATGTCAGCACGCTACGGGTTGCGTGTTGCGTATCGGGGCGCTGCCTTTGCCACGAGAGGAGGATCGACCACATAATTGGTTTACCCCAGAACTGATTTCCGCGTCGGATTGACACAGCAAATGCGAATTTCTTCTCGCGTCGGATTTACGAACCAAATTCGTATAACGTCCATAAACGGACGGATCATTCTACGTATATTTGGAGATCGGACGAACCAGACAATGTTGGAGTAAATCAATGTCTGTAGTCGATCCCCATACTCGATTTGATAATTTCGGTCACGGGGACGACTGCGACCATTTTCTGCAATGGTGCTGCTGATGACGAGGATGATGATGATGATGATGATGATGATGATGATGAGGAGGAGGAGGAGGAGGAGGAGGAGGAGGAGGAGGAGGAGGAGTATGAGTCATCGAAGGGATCGGGGGGGCTACGGCAACGATGGTGACGGCAGCGGCGACGGTCACGATGGCGGCGGCTGCGACCATCTTCTGCAATGTGATCCCTTCTGTCGGGGAAGGTGCATCCTGACCTCCGCATTCTCTCCATACCCCGCAGGGCTCGTCCGGGTGATCCCAGGGGGGGGGATTTCACCACCAGGTCCAGGGCTGATGAATCCACTGAATGCAGAGTGTTTCCTGTGGTCTTCGGGGGCGTCCAGGGTGATCGTGATGCAGATAAAGGCGAGAGGGTGAGTTTGGGGGTGTCTTGGGAGCACACTTGGCTGCCCGGAGGCTGTCGTGGGCGTCTTGGAACGATATTGCAGCGCCGCGATTTGATGATTTCGGCCACGGGGAGGACGACGACGACATTCGGTAGAAAATTATTGGGGCCTCGTATGCCGTCTTTCGCGTCGATTTGCTTCGAGCGGCGTTTGGCAATCCATGAAATAGAGCAGATTTAGCGTCGGTTAGCGTCGACTTGCGTTGATTTAGCGTCGATCACAGTCGACTAGCGTCGTTCGCGTCCGCCAACAAGATGGCAGGGGAGGCTCCCATGAGTTGCCACCGAAACGATGGTCGGGGGCCCCTGGGGTCACCGCGTGGTTCTGGGATTATCGGGCCGTTCTCAGAGGGCGTCTCGGACGAGGTCCGAAGGCCGTGCGATTACGAACCGCGCAGTGCGGCCTCTTGAGATTTCGAGGTCACCCCGCGGTCTGTCACCGCACGCTTTTGGGACCTTGGGACGGCCACGCCGGCGAAACTGTGCATGGCCATTAACGCCAAGAACAGACAAGCTCCATATCCTTATGGGTGGGATAGCGGATAGTTGGCGAACTAACACGGCCCCCAGGACAACATCATCAATATTCGTTATGGGGTGACTTCGGGAGGACCAGCTCGAGTGGTTCTTTTCGAAGGGCGTCATGCGTACGATGACATTGACGAGTCGGCGGGTAGCAAGGACGCTGACTGGTTGTATGGCTCGTGCATGGGTCGCGGCTCATCCAGTTCGCGCCCGGGCAGCTCCGTCTGTGTGCCGAGTGGGAGCCGGCCGCTTCGTCAATGAAGGATAAACGGCCAAAATGGTATTTACGACGGTGGAGGGACACACTAAGGAAATCTCAGCGGGTCAGTACGTAGACGTCATGAAGAAACAGGCGTTTCCAACGGACGAGGAGTTGACGGAGCCAGAGAGATTTTGCAGGGCCCGAGGACCAGTATGAGATGTTGGAGACCGTGTGCGACGATGGTGTCCCGACGGTTTTTTGGGGCTGATCGGGACGAAGCTGCGAAGAGCCCACCTGGATCCAGACTCAAAGCTGTTCACCCCGGAAGAGGTGGGCGATTTTCCAGTGGGTCTGGACTACCATGGACAGGCACGCCAAGCTGGTGCACACACAGCATAACGGTGTCAGCCAGATCGTCAGGGGCGCTTGGCAGACGACCGAGCAGGAAGGCGACTACCTGAGATGGACTGGGTATACCGGGTGCACAACCAATACCCCATCAAGTCGCCCAGAGGATTAGCAGCAAGAGAGGTCCCTACAAGGTGAAGGGCCACGGAGAATTACCGCAAGCGCAATGATCCTAAGTTGTCGAGGCCGCCGAAACAAAAGTGGGATCATTTTACATCGACGGCGCCCCTATCACGTCAGACATTGTGGACGACGTGAAGTAGTAGACGCAGGAACAAATTCAACCGCAAGAAAATGATTCCAACGAGGCGAAGGAAACGTCACTTGGCGGATAGGATCTAGACCCCGATCGACGAGAGGGAGATCCAGAAAAGCAGCTCATCAGGAACCTGAGCTCAAGTGAGCCCAGATGGAGTCAGCGGGGATGGCGAGCTGCTCGACTAAAGGCGTCGACGATCCAAAGGTCTGCAAGGTCGAGATGGGCACCGGCATGCAGGATTCCAACCAGAATGCCCATAATTCGTAGTTGGTTTTGAGCACGCGGGTGGACACAGGAACGCAATCGAATCTGGGTTAGCTACACGAAGCCGAGCGACGACATGGAGAACCTGGACATGGACGAGGCAGTGACCAAGGAGGTATCACAAGATTCGGTTATTTCCAGCAGAAAGAAGGACTACGGCGGCTGAGCTCCAGAGAGGCCACTGGCAGCTTGCCTGGAAGACCGGGATGGGCGACGCGGAGACTGCCGGGGCCGTGCCGGTGGCTTTGGGACCCCAGCCCTTGGAACTGACTCAGCTCAACACGGCAGCGCGCGCGTCAGATCGCGTTGCAGGCGATGGAGCTGCATGGTCGCGGCAAGGAGTCTGGAGATATTTCCAGCGCGCTTCTTCGTAAAGTCAGCGGTGCGATGCATGGTCAGACTGCACGTGTGAACGTACGTGCCTCTAGAGGTGACCGAGATGTCCCGCGACCAGCAGGGGCCAGCAAGGTACATGGCAACATGTTTCAGCGCACCGCGGATCCACGGAAGCCCCGGAGCCTTTCTGGCTGGACGTTCTGAAGACCAAGAATACGAATGGTTGGAAGCAGCCGTCAACGGAGAGGCGCGAGCTCATCCTCTCAGAGGAGGGCCACCGAAGGGGCGCAACGCACCAACGAGCAAGGAGAAGGTTCAGGTGGGATTGCAGGCGCTCGCGTGGACGACATCCTGACAGTCTGCATGAAGGGCCGGATTCACGAGGGAGCTCGCAGGTTATTTCAAGCAAGCAAAGTACCGATCCGGATCATGGAAGCACGGGGGCTCCGATTTTGCTACAGCACATCCGCGACGGTCCAAGGGCCCGAGCATCTACGTAGACATGCGGGCCTACGCGGCCCAGTTCATCGAGGAGTTCTGGATCGCGCGGGGGGGGGGGGGGGGGGGGGCGCGCGCCAAGGATGGGCCAGGCCCTGTCGCGGGCCGCGAGCGCGTCATTGGTGGAGTCTTGGGCGCGCGGGTCGCGAGCTATCCAGCGGGGGCGTCGCATCTCAGCAGGGGTTGCAGTCTACGATTGCCCGTCGAAGATGCAACGGCGAAGCGCCCCGAGGTGGCCAACCAGTTCGCCCAGGACATGGGCCGCAAAGGTGGCGTGCGTTTGGAAGATGCACATCCCGCTGCAGGGGTTGACCATGGTTGCATTTGGCCAGTGGGGGCCAGGGCAGTCGACCTGACGGAGGCAGCACGCGTAATTTTACAGGGGCCTTGGCAGCCCCAGCTATCGCGATGAAGTTGAGGGCGGCGTCTCAATTTCCAGTTGGCGCTGTCTCAGACCGTCGAGGCAGACCACTGGGCGCAATGGCCCGGGAAGTCGGGCACTCAAATCTGGCGAGGAGCAGCGCTGGTTCTAGCTACTCACGCGGCTTCGGGCCCCTGGCATTTCAGCGCCGCGGCGGCAGGATTTTGCCGCAGTGAGTTTCGATGCTCCAGCGCGTCACGGGTCGCCCACGCCCCAGCTGCGCAGCGCCAGGGCGGGCGAAAGCTCGAGCGCCGCCAGGCAGCGGCCGGGGGCTTCTGGGGCCGCGACTTGCCGGATAAATGGCCTTGTGCAGTTGGCAGATTCCCATGTCAATCTTGGCAACGTGGCTCGAGCGCTACTTTAGCAGTGCATCAACAAGGGCACCGGGTGCCAAAGGGGCGTCTGAAGCGGAACGCTCGAGTTCGCAAGCCCGGTGGAAGTGGCGACGAGATCACGGGGGAGCGTTAAATTCGATTGCAGGATGAAGGAGCTCGTCGCTAGTGAGAAGGTCAATAGCCTTCTACGCCACAGACACCACAGTTCACGAAGCAATAGAACAAAGGAGATAGATGTCTAGGACATGTTGCTTCAGGAACCCCAGCGCGAGCGTGCTGCATAGCAGTCCTACGCTCATCTCTGTTGCGATTTGGCTCCGCCCGCCGAGGATGGGAGTGATCTTGCCCATTAAGAAACGCAGCCAAACAGCTGCCGTATCTCATCCCTGGAGCCAGTTGTACAGAGGTCACGCTTCTTCCGTGCAGGGCGAGAGCAGCCCTGCCCGCGTCTGCGGGAATTCGTGCAGCACTGTGCAAGTGGGAAGCCAATCGCCACGATCGAAGAAAAGAAGGTCAGAAACTACGAGAGTCAACGGTCGAAACATGTATTGGGGACGTCCTGGGGACGTCCTGGGGACGTCCTGGGAGTCTTAAGATCTACTGTGGACCGTGGGCTCGCAGCTCCCACGCTTGGTTCCGCGGCGCGAGGCGTTGTCAGTGTTTCACTCTGCGGAGAATTGCCCCCCCCCCCCCCCTCCCCCTCCCCCCCCCCCCCACACATACACATACACATACACATACACATACACATACGCATACACATACACATACACATACACATACACATACACATACACAAAAAAAAAAACGCGCCTGCGCAAAACTCCGAGGCGCTAGGCTTTCTGGCTCTCGAGGGCCCTCCTCGTCGCCAGGGCCAGACGCAGCTCGGACAAATTGTGCGGCTGGACACCGGGAGCGGTCCGTGTATCCGTTTTGAGCTTTGGGTGGTCAGACGGAGCCCACAGTAAACCATTTTTTCCGAAACACTCCCTAAGCATCCTGGTAACACTTCTCGGCCCTACATACATGCAAATGTGGAACCGCCTCCTTCTCCTTCATGTCTCCTCTCTCCTCCCTCTCCTTCTCTCCTCCCTCTCCCCGGCGTGGGTAGCAGGTTATTACCCTCGCCTCCGCCAATCTTTTTCCCCCCCTCCAGTTTCATGCGTCTCCCCACCATTGGTCCTTTTTCCTCCTCTCTCGCTACCTCCTCCTCCTCCTCTCTTCCCCTCCTCCTCCTCCTCCTTTAGTGAAGGGGGAGGAGGACACTGTGGGAGGGGTGCGAGGGATGTGGAGAAGGAGGAGGAGGAGGCGAGGAGGAAAACGACGATGAGGAGGATACGACGCATACCGATGGGTGCGTGGAATTGTGGAAGCGTGGGGAGATTAGGATGATGATGGTGATGCTGATGATGAGGAGGATGGTGATGATGATGGTGGTGATGATGATGACGACGGTGATGGTCATGGTGATGGTGAATAGTGTTACGGTGGAATCAATCACGATATTGATGGTAACGGTGGTGATGGTGACGACGGCGATGATGTTGACGATGATGATGATGCTGATGATGGAGATGATGATGGAGATGATGATCATGATCGTGATGGTGATGACGATGATGAGATGAATATCAAGATGATGATGATGATGATGATGATGATGATGATGATGATGATGATGATGATGATGATGATAATGCTGATAATGACGAAGACGGCGACGGTTGCGATGATCATGATGGGTAGGAGGAGGAGGAGAAGACGGATAAGGCAGGAGGCGGAGGGCGCGCGAGATGTGGAGGAGGAGGGCGGCGTAACAAGGTGCCCGCACTAAGCCTCCTGCTTCCGACGCCCTGCAGAACACGTGGATTCTTCAGCCTTGGATCTGGTGGTGAAGTGCACCCCCCCCCCCGGATCACCAGGGCCAGCCCCCCCCCCCCGATTCGGACGAGCCAGGCGGGGTATTGAGAGAGTGCGAAGGCCAGGATGCACCGTCCCCAACAGGGGAGATCACATTGCAGAAGATGGTCGCAGCCGCCGCTATCGTTCCCGTCGCCGCTGTCGTCACCATCGTCGCCGGAGGCCCTGCTTCCTTCGGTGCTTCATCATCAGCATCATCATGACCAGCATCATCATCATCATCACCATTGACACCATCATCATCATGCTCATCATGACCACTCATCAGCATCATCATCATCGTCGTCGTCGTTACAGGTATCATCATCATCGGCATCGCCATCGTCATCATCATCAGCATTGTCACCATAATCATCATCATCAGCAGCATCACCATCATCATCATCATCATCATCATCATCATCATCATCATCATCATCGACATGCTCATCATGATCCGAATCATCCTCGTCATAGTCATCATCAGCATCAACATCATCATCGCCATTGTCATCGTCATCGCCATCATTGTCGAAGCGTCGTCCCGCAGAAGGCCGTATTATGGTTACGTTGCTGCGCGGTTTGGCCGTCTCGAGCCATCGTGGTCTCTACTGGCATCCAAACCTCGGAAATACAGGTTGTGTGGTGGACTTGGGGTTTGTGGTTCGTTTCGTCTCTGAGATGCATGCGCGTTCCCTGAATTAGGACTGTGTTATAGTTCCGTCGCCCTCACTGTATGTGTTTACGAACACGTGTGCGTACGGTTACGTATTCATGTTCATTATGTTTAGTATGGGTGGGCACATGTTATATGATACGTGCATGTATACGCAGAGCTATTGTACACTCGGATATTCACACATGTGCGTACTCACATACAGAACTGTCCTCATGAACGGTTGCGTGAGTCGTATAGCTTAACTTTAGAGCCTGCACCACACATGTGCGCACACATGATTTGCCACTGCGCACAAACATGCACACTCATCTGTCTGTATATATACACATACACACCTCTATACACATAAACACATATTTATATTATGTATGCATGTATGCATGTATGTATGTATGTGTGCATGTGTGTATGTATGTATATATTATATATACACATGCATCGAAGGCTTTACGGCCAGCGCCGCCGACCCTGAAGAAAACAACCCTGGCCACGACGAGGTAGAGGGATGAGGAGGAGGAGGAGGAGAGGCAGGAGGAGGGGGTCGCCGAAGAAGACGCCGAGGAGGTGGAGGAGGTGAAGAAAAAGAGCGAGGAGGGGGAGCAGCAGGAGGGGGGTGGCGATGATGTGGAAGTGCATGGGGATGTGGAGGCCGAGGTTGAAGGGAGGGGGGGCGCTGAGCACCGGCGGGGATTGCAAGAGGACGTGGAACAGGAGAGAGATGACGTGGTTGGGCGGAGGATGGCGCGGAATATTAGCAAGAGGGGGGCATGGAGGAAGGATACGTACTTGGAGAAGGGGGTGACTTGAGGGTGGTCGAGGTGGTCGCGGTCCACCCCGTGCTCTCGCTGCTTCTGATGCCCACCATTGCGTTATGCTCTCCCCAGGCTGGCCGCTGGAAGCACACTGTGGAGTCGGGGATCCTAAACCAACATCGCGCCCCTCGGTCCGTGGACGCCGACCAGTCATAATTCGGATCCATGGGTACCGGCGCGCAGCCGAGGAGGAGGGAGGAGGAGGAGGAGGAGGAGGAGGAGGAGGAGGAGGAGGAGGAGGAGGAGGAGGAGGAGGATTTTCTCCACGCGACAGAATGGACGGGAACGACAAGTCGGTGCCACCCGCTCGGGCACGAAGGGCGCGCGACGCCGCCGCGTGCCGGGGGCCTACGGGTTTGCCCCGGGCCTTGCGCAATCTTGGCGCAACTGCCGCTGCGCGCGTGAGGGCCAGCGAGCTGCGCGCAAACAGTTGGCTTCTTTGAGGGTGGTGGTCGGTTTCCGTGGAGCTTCGACAGGGCACGTTTCTCTGCGCTCTGCGATCTACTCGGGCCTCTGGAGGGCCCCATCGCGGCCGCGGCTGGATTCCCTTCGACGTTCTGGCCCGGGGGCGAGTGGCCGAGAGACGAGATCTCCGACGACGTGACTTTTTCATCTTAGTTTTCTCTGTAAATCTGGGCCTCCCGGAGCCGCCCCCCGCCTCGTCCACGGCCGCGTCGCCGCGCCGCACCCGCCCCATGGAGGAGGGGGCGGGGGGGGGGGGCGAGAACGAGGAGCGGGGAGGGGCGACGAAGATTCGAATGGGCGTCGGCTTGAGAAGCGCGCGGGAGGAAAGGGGGGGGCGAGCGCGAAAGGCGACTGGCAAAGACCTGGTGCGACGCCCAGCCAACAGGGCTCCAGTTCCATCCGCGATCGGGGGCGATCTGTTCCCGATCCGACGTCGCGCCGACGCAGCTGCGATCGGATCCGGTTCGCGAGTCGGCGACGCCGAGGCTCGACGAGCGCGCGGGGGAGGGGCGCGGGGAGGAGGAGGAGGAGGAGGAGGAGGAGGAGGAGGCGAAGGAGGGGGAGGGAGGGGCAGAGGATGGTCGCGAAGGGCGCGACGCAAAACGGGCGCGGGTTCGAGGTCGACCAGAGATCGCTAACAGTATGTCTCGATCCGGTCCCCACCGCTCGCCTGCCATCGTTGGCGCTTCGGGCCGTCAGGGGCCCTCTCGGGGCCTGGCGGGGGCCTCCTGGGGGCCTCTTGGGGCTCTCGGAGCATGCCGGGTGTTTTCTGGAACTTCAGGAGGGGTTTTTGCGAGCCTCTCGGAGGCTGCTGAGGATCTCCTTGAGAGCTCCTGGGGGCCGCTCGGGGCCGAGGGTTCGAGATGTCCGCTCGGGCCCTCCGTCGGGGCGCCCTTTCGAAGCCGTTCCGGGGCTTCGTGGGCTGCGTTGAGGCGTGTAGGGTCGTCTTGGGAACCCTGTTGGGCGTTTTGAGGCCTTCCTGGAGGCCGCGCCGGGGGCGCTCTTGGCGGCCTCCAGGGCTGCCGTGGATGTTGTGGAAGCTGAAGTGGCGAAAATGGTGAAGAAATGCTGGGACGATTTTGCTGTTTGATGCGCTTGTGGGACCTTTTGGGGGGCGGTTTGGGAGGCTTTGCGGGGCGTCCTGAAACCTTTCGGGCTGTCCAAAGGCCATCTTGGGCGCCGAAGGATTGATCGTCGGCGACGCGGGGCCTTCGTGGACCATAGTGAGAGCTTCTCGTGGCACTCTTGGGCGGTTTACGCTTGTTTGACGTTCGGGAGTCCCCGCGGGGGTGGCATTTTGACCCGGGACACCTCCGGGACACTCCCTGGGGCCCTCCCCAGGACCCCCCCCGGGCACCCCCCCCTCCCCCAGCGGGGAAGGGATCAAGGGAAGGGGCTCCCCTTCGACTCGATTACGTACGACGTTATTTCATTCCGTTCTAGCTGGCGCGCCTGAAGGCGGCGACGACGACTAAGACGACGACGTGCGGAAGAACCCCTCCCACACGCCGACAAGGTCGGCGGATGTGTGTGTGTGTGTGAGTGTGTATATATATATATATATATATGTATATATATGTGCACCGCTACACGTGTATAGCAAAGGAGCGCCCTCGAGGCCCCAGAAGCCCCAAACGGCAAATCGGGACTAGGCTCACTGGCTCCGGCGGCGGAGTTTTACACCGACGCTGCGTGTTTGCTCGCACGTCGTTTCGCGCAGACAGAAAAATGTCGGGGCTGGACAGAGCCCCCAATAGTGACACGTCGATTAGTGAATTGTCCGTTTTCGGTTTTCGAGAGGGCGCCGTGGCCGTCAGTTTCCAGGCTTTCGCCCGCCAGATTTGGGCCCGACGTCGTTTTCACTAAACCACGTTTTGCTAAAGGGGGTTCTGTCCATCCCCGAAAATGCACCGTCTGCGCACAGCGAACGTATTGCAGCGCCTGGCGCCGCGGAGCCAGGGGCGGGAGCAGTCCCAGCAGGCTTTGGGGGGTCCTGGGAGGCCCCAGGAGGCCCCAGGAGGTTCCACGAGGCCCCATGAGGCTCCTCCTGCTCCTCCTGCTCCTGCTCCTCCTCCTCCTCCTCCTCCGGCTCCTCCTCCTCCTCCTCCGGCTCCTCCTCCTCCTCCTCCTCCTCCTCCTCCTCCTCCTCCTCCTCCTCCTCCTCCTCCTCCTCCTCCTCCCTGGGAGGCCCCAGGAGGCCGCAATATGACATCCCGTCCTGGTCGATCGCACGGGTGGGGCTCGGTGGGCAGCGTCCGAAAGCCTCCGCCGGGGAAGGGCGCGCCGCTCTCCCGCACGGGGGGGCCCCTGCCCCCGCGGACGGGCCGGCGAGCGCGGCCTCCCTGAGGCCCCTGCCGGTGCCCGGCTTGCCGCCCCAGCCGTCCCAGGACGTCGGAGGGACGGGGAGCCCGGCGGAGGACGGCCCGCCTCCTCCCCCTCCTCGGCTCGGGGGCGGAAAAGAGGGGGGTGATGACTAGGGGGGGTGGATATCATGGCGGGGGCCATGATATTTCCCAGATTTCATGGCGCCTCTTCTCATTTCATTACGTCCCTGGCCCCCCCGCTGGGCCGCGCACATGCCGCCGGTCATGATTTGCACCCCCCCCTCTTGGACCCCCCCCTTTTGGCCGCTCCCGATCCTCCTCCTCGGCGTGTTTCGGCCATACGTAAGAGTGGCATTTCGCCAGAGTGACCCTTCGGGGGGCGCTAAAGGGAGCCCCGACCCAAAGTGCCCCCAGCTGTTCGCTCAGTTTTGAAAGGCCTGGGGACCTCTGGGCCTCGCAAGGGGTTCTCTGGAGGCCGCGGGGTCCTCCTTGGAAATCTTGGGGGGCACCTTTGGGCCAGGGGCACTTCTAGCCACACCCGAACCTTTTGTGCGGGCTCACCGCGGCCCCCCCGATCGCCTAGCGCGATGCGATAGCAGCGGCCTGCGCGATTGGCCCCGCAACCGCGCCACGCAAAGCCGCGCACCAGAAGTCACTCATGCCTAAGGTCGCTCTTACGCGCAGCCGATGTTCGAGGGTGCTTGTCGTCAGGGGTCGTTCGTCCTCTTCCTCTAGTCCTCCTCCTCGGGCGTCTTCGGTCCCAGGCCCGTTCATGCTCCATGGTTTATCCATGTTTTTGTTCCTCCTCATCCTCCTAATCCTCCTTCACCTCCTCGATCTCCTCGGAAGAAGCCTCTTCGCCCTCCTCCTCCTCCTCCTCCTCCTCCTCCTCTCCCTCCTTGTCCTTCTCCTCCTCCTCCTCCTCCTCCTCCTCCTCCTCTTCCTCCTCCTCCTCCTGGGGCCCTTCGAAAGGAAGCCCCCCCCCATCCTTCCTACTTCGAAGAAAACTCGGCGCCCTCACCACTTCACCCCCTCGCGTCGAGAAACAATCAAGACGGAAGGGCTTCGGGACGACGTCGCTTCCTGGAGGTCATTTCGCAGTTCTGAGTGAGTTTCTTGTGTGTTACTCGGCTCTTAGAGGTTTTCTTGCCTCGGGATGCGTTCCGGCAGCTGCGTCTCATCGAAAGCGTTCTGGGGATGCCAGTGTCGTCTTGGTCCGACGCCAGAGGTTGGAGCTTACTTTGGCCCGAAGTCCAGACGTTCTCGCGACTTGAAGAAAGCCATGAGAGACTTTGGCGAACTTTCCTGCCCCCAGAGCCAAGATGAAAAGCTGGTCCCAGAAATGGGGTCTAGACCTGTAGAAGTCAACATCGTGAGAAAGTCATGACGTCGGGGTCCAGGACGGGAGGTGGGCAGTGGAGGCGCCCTTCTAAGAGAGCAGGGGGGCAAGGCTGTCCGCAGTTCGGTCTGCTCGTTTGCGTCGGTGTCGGTTGCGATCGGTGATCGGTTGGTCGGGCTCGGTCGGTCGCTGTAGGTATCGTTGCTGCGTCTCCGCGCCACTCCTGTGCTGCGTGCAGCCGGTCGGTTTCGGCTCTGCTGTCGGCTCATGAATCACCACCCACCAAACCACCCCAACCCAACCCGAAGCCCTCGATTTGCCCTCCATTTCCGGTGTGGGGGGGGTCGGGGAACGTTGAAACAAACACATGGAATCCGTACCCCCCCAACCCGAAGTTCGGGTCACATTCGGGTCTTCGGGTTGGGTTGGGGTGGCCTGGTAGGTAGTCAATGAAAGGGGCTCGATCGTGGGCCCCGATCGGCAAGCTCGCGCGCCGCGGACCGTGGCACGCCGTCGGCACCCGCCGCAGACTGCCCGAGGAGCGACGGAGACGGCCCGGGGCCGACGGGCACCGAGAGGCCCACGGTTGCTGGGCCGAGCGTCAGCCACTACTGCCATGGGCAGGACGGGGGAGAAGAGAGGATGGAGAGGGCCTCCTCCTCCTCCTCCTCCTCCTCCTCCTCCTCCTCCTCCTCCTCCTCCTCCTCCTCCTACTACTACTACTACTACTACTACTACTACTACTACTACTCTACTACTACTACTACTACTACTCCTCCCCCTCCCCCTCCTCCTCCTCCTCCTCCTCCCCTCCTCCTCCTCCTCCTCCCTCCTCCTCCTCCTCCTCCTCCTCCTCCTCCTCCCCTCCTCCTCCTCCTCCTCCTCCTCCTCCTCCTCCTCCTCCTCCTCCTCCCTCTCCTGCCTGTGGTAGTGGTGGTGGCGGACATCCGCCCAGCAGTGGGTGAGCACATATAATAAAACGGGTTCGCGCGGGCGGCCTCGGCCTCTGGGAGGCAGGACCCCCCTGC